CCCCAAAACCCCAAAACCCCAAAACCCCATCAATATAGATTTCATTCGAAATTGTATGATTTGCCTATTTTCATTAATTTTACTAATTCAAGCTAATTAAAATAAAATGAGTCGACCTACTGATCTCAAATTTAGATCTCCTAAAGAAAAAACCCCAGAGTTTTATAACTCAAATGTAAATTACATTCTTATTACTAAAGTAGATAAAATACGATGGAAGAAATTCAAGTTTTAATACAAGCTAATAGCAGCATTTTGAAAAACCAGTGAGTTTTGATACAAGACAGCAACGATTTCATTAATATGAATAATGGGCTAGAAAAACTAGTATGTTTGTGGGTCCTGGAATATATGATGATCACCTGGTATTCCAGAATTAAAGCAAGCAACCATGCGCTGTTAAATATGTAACTCACATTCATCATATCCTTAATAAGCTATTGATGATAGATAAGCAATAATTAATCAAAAGAATAAGGAAGAGAATGCTACACTGTCATTGGTGGTAACATGATTGTTTATGAGCCAGGATTTGAAAAGTTATCTTCTAGAAAATAAAATGATAGCCTTACTAAAACTAATCAAGGAAAAATAGCATTAAATTCAATTTTCCCTTAAAATAGAATTACTCACATGATGGCCTACCGCAATTCTAGATAAAACTATAAGAATAATGAGATCTAAGAAAAAGTAGCTTAGTTTACTAAATAGCAACAATAATAGTCAAAGTACTCTTAAAAATTGAATTAGCTTTCTTTTTCCAAAGATTCAAGAAGGCCTTCATCTTCTTTTTACACAGATTTAATGACCTAAGAATCCTTGAATAGACCATAGACTTCGTTTGTAAGTAATTTTATATCAAGCTTATCAACCTCTGTATAATAAAATATTTATTAATAATTTTGTTGTTTAGAAAGTAAAACGATCATCAAAGTCATAATCAAAGAATCAAAACAGAAATGAATTTTCTAATATTGAATCATTTCAAACTCCATCCTCTCAGGTTTAAATGTTTGAGACTAACACTTAAAATAACAGCAGTTTTATGGGAGTTGGCCCCATTTATAGAACTGTAATATCTTTAAAATCTTAATTTTTAAGAATATGAGAGTGAGTGAGTAAATTTCAGTCAATCAGGCCGATGTCAATTGTAACATAATATCAGGCTCGAACTCTGTGGACAAGCCTGAATCAAACAACCTTTAGCAGTTGGCAAGAGAATTTGATAGACAGTAAAAAATGAATAAAAGTTTTGATTACAATCCAATCACAAGATTTGAAAGGCCAAAGAGTTAATAGAAGACATATTTGGCTAAGCTTTCAAGATCTAGTAATAGATAGATTATCGATCTCAAGAAAAGTGTATCATTGCTCTAAGCATATGGTGAATATGAAAGGTAATTACTTCCAGAAAGTTTATTTAATGATAGATTTTTGGAAATGAGTAAGTAATACATGAAAGAAAAAGGAATAATTATGAAGAAGACCTTGAAAAAGAATAAAAATAAAAAAGTTAAACCACTAGACCAGTTACCTATAGAAAAGAGCATCAGTCAAAATCCATTAGGAGGTGAATCTATGTTGGAAAACATCTAAGAGCAGAGTAAAATACTTCATGAAAAGCTTTCGAGTAATTAGGAGATATTAGAACCAGAATTAGACACCTAAATTGAAGAAGATTAACTACTATTATCTTAAAATCAATGAGAGACATGTTATTATACTATAAGCAATATTTGTAAACAAATGATTATTTTAAGTTATTAGCATAGCAAATTAATACTATTAACATTAACTTATGAATTAGACTCTCTTGTTTTGATTTTACATGTTATGTCTGATTTCTGATTGGATTAGGGTGATCATGGGTTTTACCATAGCTGAATTTTTTACTTTATACTAGGGAAAAATTAGGAGAGCAACTTGCCAGAATTAGGCATGAAATATATCTGAATCAGATAAGATTTAGTAACCTATTTTAACTGACAAGGTTATGGTACACTGGGACATTTTTTCAAGTCAGATCAGGGAGGATATTAAATTTTGTATGAGTAATCTGCCTTAAGCTGCAAGCCATTCAAGTCATTATATATATTTGAGGTAACATTAAGGTGTTGTATGGAAAAACTTGATAGGTTGTATCCAATAAGTAGTCAGTGACGTAATAGTCTCAGCTAGGATGTCTACATTTAGAGTATTTCTCTAAGTAATTGCAAAATGAGCCACTGAAAGTGGCAAAAATCCAGGATAAGGGGAAGTATAATTAATATAAACATGTCATTAAGAAGGTTGAGATTGAATGGTATCTTAATACAATAAAATAATAAAACTTTAACTTTTTATGTATCTTCAAAACTTAAATAGTATGCACATGAAATATGTACAGTCTATTCTTGTTATGAAGAAATTTATCTTATATGCGATGCATTAATTAGAAGGCTTTATAACGATAATTCTCATTTGTATGATTGAATATATTTAGAAAGAGATCATCATCAGCAACACTATGCCTTCTTTTTACCTTTTGTTACCCCCTCTTTTTAATTTTAATCATTCTCAACATTGTCTTGAAGTTGTATCCCTTTGCCTTTGCCAATGTCTTTTTATTAATTTCTAGATTTCTTCTGTTCATCCTATTCTTATACAATCACTCTATTGCTAGCTACTTAATGAATTTCTATATTAATACTATGTTGAGAGTAAAATAAATCTGCTTACATTATATAATGGAGTCAAAAGCCAAATCAACATTAGATGATACTAAAGCACTTGTTTCAATGAAAGCAAGTTACTTTTGTGCCGCGAATTCTGCAGCTTCTTCTTTTTTTACTTCTCTCAATTTATGAAGATCTGTTTTGTTCCCAACCAACATCACTACAATTCCTGCATCAGCATATTAGTGAAGTTCTTGCAACCATCGCTCCACACTTTCAAATGTCTTGCTTTTTGTGATGTCATAAACTAGCAAGGCTCCAACTGCACCACGGTAGTAAGTATTGGTTATTGCTCTATATCTTTCTTAACCTGCAGTGTCCCAAATTTAGGCCTTCACTGTCTGACCATTTTCTAAGTTAAAGGTTTTTGCTGCAAATTCCACTCCAATAGTTGCCTTGCTCTCAAGATTAAATTCGTTTTTAGTAAATCTACTTAGTAAATTTGATTTGCCAACTCCTGAATCACCGATCAGCACTATTTTGAAAAGGTAATCATATACATCTTGATCTCTCGCAGAACTCATTTTCAAATCTTTATAAATTCCTGATAATCTTAATTTTAATACTAAAACTTTATAAATTATGATAGGTATTTAAGAAGTTTTGAAATTAAGGAAAGGTTAATTTTCTCAGTCAATCATTGAAGGAAATCGATCAAAAATCTGGTTTGCTAACCTTGGTCTTTTTGATTGATGATTGAGAAGAAAGAATGGTGTGTCTTGGTCCCATCTTGGGGTCCATATTAGCAAGGGGCATGACTTCATAAATTCTGACGATCCATCTCTCGCTAGTATAGGCCTCTCTGAAATGCTTAAGTTTGAATCCTTTATGACCGATTTCAGCGTTTCTAACTGTATCATAGCCAGTTGGTTTGCCTTGTTGAGTTGTTACCTCATCAAATCTGTAGTAACAGAGTTTGTACATAAGGCAGTTCTTCATGGTTGGTGAAGCCTCAGCATCAATTCTGTAAACACCATTGCTGTAATAGTTATTTTCCTTGATCTGAGGGAATACTCCAGCTATAAAAATTAGATAAGATATAACTAATTCTGCTTACCTCCGATTCTAATCATCCAAAGGAACTTTGAAATATCATCTCCACTGTAATAGGAAACACCTCCGAAGATAACCAAAACATAGTTAGCATCAAGGTATCTGGCAAGCTTATAAGCCTCTTCTTCTTCAGAGCCCATAGTCTAAAATATTATTGATATTAAACTTTAAACTTACTCTTCCAACAGTAGCGATGTGAGTGTTGTTCCAAGTGTTGTTATCAACCAATACAGTTCTATTACCCATTCCAGTGATTTGATATCCGTAATCCCACCATGAGAGAATCTTGGCATCCTTGGCAGTGTTCATCTTAAGCCAGTAATAGGCTTCTCTGAAATCATCAATAATGACTCTTGAGCCATCATTTCTTCTGCTCGCGAGAATGATAGATGGGGACGAGTAAGCCTCAGCAGCCATGTAAGTTGAGTGATAAACATAGCTAGATAAGAAGTAGACAAAGAAGGCCATAACAACAGCAGCAACTTCAAAAGGTACTCTCTTCTTTTTAGCAGGCCCTTTCTTCTAGTCTTGACCCTTTTAAGAGGGTTTCTTTTGGGAGACATCTTCATCTTCAAGTTCGTTGAACTATTCAGAGAGTGATTTGGTTTCAGTTAGAGCAGCTCTAATTGACTTTGACATCTTTCTGAGAATCTCTGAAAGACCGATGGCAGCAAGAACGCAAGCTGCTGGGGCAATGACCAACATAAGACGGATCATAACACATGAGAAGTAAGTTGAAAGAACTCCATAGATACCAACGAAGAGCTTACCGTAGGTAACCTTGTGGTTAAGGCAGTAATAGAAACCAACTGGGATGAAGATCATCAAGTATTGAAGATCAAAGAAATAAGATGACCATGAAGTTGGTTAATGCTCAGAGACTGAAGCAATAATTGGAATGTATTTCTTGGCATAAGTTGGATCTAAGAGAGTCAAAGATCTTCCACTCCATCTAGTAGCTCCTGAAACAGTAATCAAGACAAAGATCATTCCAAAAGCAGCTGTGGCAATACCGAAAGCCAATCTAGTGAGGATAGCGAATTGCTCTTGTGCGAGGTTTCTTCTGATGTAATCAATAATGACGTAGATGTTCATGATTGCGTAAACCAAATGAGAAGCCAAATGCTCACTTGACTTGATGGCGTTGAAACCAACAAATGGAATAAGCATGGCCATAACTGTACCAACAACGTAGAATACACTGTAGGCAACATAGATCTTCATACTGAATTTGTTAATAAAGATAGTTCCGAGCACAAAGATTGGGATAATGTTAATGATGAATGAATATCCACCCCAAGCTGCAACCATGTAGAAATATGAGAGGGTACACATGACACTCCAAAAGATTGAACCAGTGTTAACAGCTTTAACCCACAACCAGAAGGTAGTGATAAGAGCCCAGATGGCTACTCCCTCGTTATCATATGAACCGGCAACACTTCTTGAAATGTAAGAGGGAACAATTGATATAAATAGAGCTGAGAAAAGTCCAGCCTCTGGTCTGTTTGTGCATTCCTTAGTGAAGAAATAGGTTGAGATTGAAGTCAATCCAGCGAAAACTGGAGCTAAAAAGACACAAACGTTTCTGATATCAACTGGGAATGAGAGGAAATCAGCAAACCATTTGATACTAGCTGAGGTGACCATAATACCTGGGAAAATAGTTCCACCGATAACTCTACCAAGAGGATACCAAGATTCACTATCGAACCAATTCCAGAATTGATAGAGACCTTCTTGGGTAAGATACTTGGTAGTTCTGAAATTGAACCAAGGATCGAACTCGTGAATAACTGACTCGAATCTGATCACAGAGAAAATTCTGACTGCGAAGGCCAAGATCGAAATCAATGCGAGAATAACGATTTTGAACACAGGTGCATACAACTTTAGGGAGACGAACACATTACTTGTGTTTTCTTGAGATTGAGCTTCATTTTGTTTTTCCTATGGCTCAGCAAGGACTTCATCACTTGCATTTGCATTGCTCTCTGGCTTGCTTTCTTGAACTTAGGATGCATTAACCTAATTCTTCTTTCCTTTGCGCTTATCCATATTGAATATAGAGTCTTCAAAGATACAATTTTAATTATAACTTAATGATTCTAAATTCTATTCTATACCACTTCATAAATCAATGACAGTTTACCCTTACGGGGTTTTGGGGTTTTGGGGTTTTGGGGTTTTGGGG